TGAGTACGATGGAAAGTGATACGCCTCTCTCTTTTCTAGTCTAACTTACTCAGAACGCCTTTTGACTTTGGTAGAACCTTCTTTCCTCACATGAGATCAACTTGCAAACCCCTCAGGGTCAAAACAGTAAAGGTCAACGAGTCTGATTACCTTGGGCGATGAGCTCGCGCTGAGCCGACGACGCGGCTTTTACCAGCGTCTGAACAGCAGCAGTAATTGATTTGGCTGCGCTGAGGATCTGCTCGTCGAAGGCTAAATTCTCATCGGTTTTCTGAAAACAAGTCCTATTTAGTTTCTTCGGCGTTTTGAAGAACTTCGTAACAGCTAAGAGTGCTCGAAGCGAATGAAGAGCAGGGTTAGAGGCCAGCAGTGATGGTGGCACGCTCGATCTTCGATATGTCTAATAGTTCTGGTTATCACTGAACCCAAGAATACCAGACATATCAGAGCTAAAGCAGCCTGTGTTGGGGTAGGTGTCGATGTGGCGGTGATCGGGGGTGGTGATGGTGGTGGTAGAGGGTTAGGAATATGGACGAAGCGGTGAATTGTATAGCAGTTCTATACTGTCACCATAGACGAAGGAGGAAGAGGAATCGGCGGAATAGGAAGCAGAAGGAAGGAGCAAGGAAGAGAATCTTCGTCCTAAACAAACCGGTTGTACTCGTGGACGAAGTTCGGCCAATTTCACTGCAGCTGCTTCTATCGAACTTGCTGCTCCCATCAATTCGTTCTCAGCCACTACTGTCGGATCGGAATGATCTGCCCATGTGTCAGTCTGGAAATAAGCGAATTGACATCTTTGACCCGAAAGTTAAAAGAAGTGTTCACAATCGCTGGGGGCCGGCGGTTGGTGCCTGTGTCATTGGTGCAAGAGCTGCGAGGTGGTGTTTGACCACACTTCACACAACCGCGCGCCTCCGGCCATCGTGCTCACTGCCTTTAAGTGAATTTGCTCTGCCCTGACTGAGTGAAGCCAGCTAGTACCTTCAGAAGTTCACTGCATCCAATTAAGTCTTTCACGGCTCGTGCCACTCCACGAGAAGCATCCAGAAGGAGCTGGCGCGATGACGGGTCAGCATTTCGTGCAAGTACCGTGTGCAAGGCGACAAGCAGGCCACGAACCTAGAATGAGAGATTTACGAATTATAGAGGTAGCTGAACCGTTTAGCGAAAAGCAACCAACCTGAGCGGCGACATCACGTCCAGCGTCGAGCGTTCTGTACCTGGCTTCGGCACTATCGGCGTCAGCGGCTGCTGCGCGAGACACGATCAGCAGCTCACTGACAGCAGCTCTGGCAAGGTTAGCCGCGGCGATCACA